ATTGCTTCTTGTACTTGTGCTCAGAATGTGTGGTGACATTGTGATCCACCCTGAGCTTGTTCTGCTTTGCTTGCTCTGCTGATTACACCCCACTTTGGCTATGGGGGTGTGTCAGAATGTCATTGTTCTCTAGCCTGCAGTGGGGTACTCTATAGCGAGTACAACCCCTTAGGGTTTCCTATATGTATCCTGCTGCTTTCTAGTGAACCCCCTCTTCTTCTTTTGCCTAAACTTCTCTTGCCTAGCTAGGACTTACCTAGCTATGGCTCCTAACTCTACCTACTATTTTCACAGGAAGAATAATTGCGCTGTCTCCTCGGTGCGAGCCGTTGTGTGTGTCGGGATGAAGTGTCCCATTTTGGAAAATTTGTCGATGACGACTAGAATGGCGTCGTAACCAGCTTTGGTAGGTGGTAACCCGGTGATGAAGTCCAAGCTGACCACTTGCCAAGGCTGTTCAGGGACTGGAAGAGGCTGTAGTAACCCGGCTTTCTTCTGTTTGCTGCCCTTCATCCGTTGGCATGTGTCGCACGAGGTGATGAATTTTTGTACGTCATCCGCCATGTGGGGCCAATAATAATGCTTCGCAATACCGGCAAGCGTCTTGTTACTACCGAAGTGGCCCGCGTAGAGAACATCATGATATTCTTCGAGTAGTAACTGGCGTAAAGAGGGGGTTGAGGCCATTTGGCATCACCTGTTAGAATAGTAGCTAAGAAGCTAGGGTTTAGGAAGAGAGAGGTGGCCAAAGGAGAGGGCTTGCACTATAGAATGCAATACAACTTATAGGAAACGAGGGAGGCGGTGAAGGGAGGTAGACCACCTAAGACAAGATAGGTGATACTACACTAACTAACTAAACATGCAATTATATAAGAATATTACATTCTGACATCCCCCCTTAATTGCATGCCAGTGTAGCCAGTGAAGGGGCTCATCTCGAAGGGCAAGCAACACCGTGCCGCAGCTGGGCCCACCGCCAGGTACGGTGGAATGCCCGCCTGCGGTTTAACCCCCGCAGTGGATGCCCGGTGTGTGCGCACGACGAGGAACGACGGCGCCCAGATACGACGGATAGAGAATAGACAAGGAAACCAGAAAATGCGAACCTCTCTCTCTCTCTCTTTCATCCCCCCTTAACCTCTCTCTTCCCCCCCCCCCCCCCACAGCAACAAGTGCTGCAGGGAGAGAGGTAGAGGCAAGGGAGGGACGGGTTGCTGGCTGCTCACACCTGCCACCCACACATCCCTGTCAGAATGTGATGTTTGTCTAGCCTGCAGTGGGGTACTCTATAGCGAGTACAACCCGAATTAGGGTTTGCTATATGTACTCAATTGCCTGCTAGTGAAAACCCCTTTCCTGTTTCTTGTTTTCGCCTGCTGTTTTGACATGCTATCAGAGCAGTTCGACCCTCCTGGGTCGATCCTGTGGATGGGCCCGCCACCTAATGCTTCCGCTGCTGTCCTGCCTATCGCGCGCCCCGGGCGCGCGACGTGTTCTGCTTGCCGTGCGCTCAGGGGTAAACGGCGTATTTTTCATCCCGCCGCGCGCCCCGCCGTGCGCCCCGAGGCGCGCGGCGGTTTTCTGCCCCGTCGATCTGCGCGTCGCCCCCTGTCGCCCGTTGCAGCGCCCCCGGGGACCCGCGCGTCGCCCCCCGTCGCCCGTAGCGGCCCGCGCGACCTGCGCTTGGCCCGCGCGCGGCCCGTACAGCCCGCGCGCGGCCCGTACGGGCTGCGCCAGGCCCGCGCGCGGCCCGGGCAGCCCGCGCGCGGTTCGTCCCGAGCTTCTGACCGCGCCCCACCCCCGCTGCTGCCCGTGCTCCTGTGTTAGGGTTTGGGGGTGGAGAGTATGGGGGTGCCGGGTGTGTGAGCCGTCCCTTGCTCCTCCTCCTCCTCCGTCTCCCACTGCTGCAGCTGCCGCTGAGGGGGGTGGATGTGTTGGAGCCGTCGGAGTGGTACGAGGGGGGTGGCGTGTGAGCAGTGCTAGAGGTGCAGCAGGGAGTGTGTGAAAGGGGTGTGGGACAGTTGGGGGAGGTTGACCGGAGGTAGCCGTTGTGACGTCAGCAGCGCCAGTAGTCCGGGGGTTGAGCACTCCGGTAGCCCAGCGAGCCTGCTACTGCTAGTCGCCCGTGGGTCTGTTGCTCCTGCTGCTGCTTAGCGCGGAGCCAGTTACTCCTGTAGTCCGGAGGTTGAGTGCTCCGGTAGCCACCGTGCGCGCCGTTCCTGTTGCCCGTGTGTCTGCGGCTTCACCAGACGCCTCCTATCTCCACTCCTCTCACAGTTCCTCCTCCTCCTCACTTGCCCTCTGTGACTGCCTCTAGCTTTGCTTGTATTTGTGAACCTACTGCTATGCGTGCTGTCAGAATGTGATGTTTGTGTAGCCTGCAGTGGGGTACTCTGTAGCGAGTACAGCCCGAATTAGGGTTTGCTATATGTACTCAACTGCATGCTAGTGAAAACCCATCTTTCCTGTTTCTGATTCTTGCCTAGACTTCTGACATGCTATCAGAGCAGGTCGACCCACCTGGGTCGATCCTGTGGGTGGGCCCCACCCGATGCTTCCGCTGCTCTACTGCTGTCGCGCGCCTCGGGCGCGCGACCCTTTCTTCCTGCCGCGCGCTCCGAGCGCGCGGCGTTTTTCATCCCGCCGTGCGCTCGGGGCATGCGGCGGTTTTCTGCCCGCCGTGCGCCCCGAGGCGCGCGGCGGTTTCCTGCTTCGCGCGGCGGTTTTCTTCCCGTCGTGGCGCCCCCGGGGACCTGCGCGCTGCCCCCCGTCGCCCGTCGCGGCGCCCTGGGGGCCCGCGCGTCGCCCTCCTCCCGTCGCCTCGTCGCGGCGCCCTAGGGGCCCGCGCGCCGGCCCCTCCCGTCGCCTCGTCGCGGCGCCTTAGGGGCCCGCGCGTCCCCCCCTCCCGTCGCCTTGTCGCGGCACCTTGGGGGCCCGCGCGTCGCCCCCTCCCGTCGCCTCGTCGCGGCGCCTTGGGGGCCCGCGCGCCGCCCCCTCCCGTCGCCTCGTCGCGGCGCCTTGGGGGCCCGCGCGCGGCCCCTCCCGTCGCCCGTCGAGCCGCCCTCGGGGGCCCGTGCGCGGCCCCCCTCTCGTCACCCGCCGTGGCGCCCTCGGGGGGCCCGCGCCCTGCTCCTTCGTGGCGCTCAGGAGACCCCCCCGCCGCCTGCCTTTCCCTCCGTGAACCGCCCCTGCTGCTTCCCGCGCTCCTGCCTGCGTTAGGGTTTGGGGGTGGCGGGCATGGGGGTGAACGGTGTGGGTAACCTGCAGCTCCTCCTACTCCTCCGTCTCCCACTGCTGCAGCTGCCGCTGAGGGGGGTGGGTGTGTGGGAGCCGAGGGTTTAGGGTTTAAGGGGGGTGCCGTGGGAGTGGAGCTAGGGGCACAGCAGGGAGTGTGTGAAAGGGGTGTGGGACAGTTTGGGGAGGATGACAGGAGGTGGCCGTTGTGACGTCTGCAGCGCCAGTAGTCCGGGGGTTGAGTACTCCGGTAGCCCAGCGAGCGTGCTGCTGCCAGTCGCTCGTGGGTCTGTTGCTCCTGCTGCTGCTTAGCGCGGAGCCAGTTACTCCTGTAGTCCGGAGGTTGAGTGCTCCGGTAGCCACCGTGCGCGCCGTTCCTGTTGCCCGTGTGTCTGCGGCTTCACCCGTCGCCTTCTATCTTCACTCCTCTCACAGTCTCTCCTCCTCCTCACTTGCCCTCTGTGACTGCCTCTAGCTTTGCTTATCATTGTGAACTATTGCTCTATGACTGCTTGTTGTGTTGATTGTACCCCACTTTGACTATGGGGGTGTGTCAGAATGTGATGTTTGTGTAGCCTGCAGTGGGGTACTCTGTAGCGAGTACAGCTTGAATTAGGGTTGGCTATATGTACTCAACTGCATGCTAGTGAAAACCCCTCTTTCCTGTTTCTGATTCTTGCCTAGACTACTGACACGTGCTTGCTGTGCTGATTATACCCCACTTTGACTATGGGGGTGTGTCAGAATGTGATGTTTGTCTAGCCTGCAGTGGGGTACTCTATAGCGAGTACAGCCCGAATTAGGGTTTGCTATATGTACTCAATTGCCTGCTAGTGAAAACCCCTTTCCTATTTCTTGTTTTCGCCTGCTGTTTCGACAATCCCCCCCCCCCCCCCCCCCCACGGCGGAAGCCGCGGAAGGGAGGGCAGGGGGGGCGGCGTGAGCCGCTGCTGGCGCTCGTGAAGGCGCTTGGCGCTGGCGTCCCCACTGACGACGGGCGCTGGCGTTGGCGCTGGCGCTGGGCGCATGCGTTGGCGTCCGCGAGGGCGACGTGCGGGCCGCGGGTCGACGAAAGGGCGCGGGGCGACGTGCGGGCCTCGTGGCGACGAAAGGGCGCGGGGCGACGCGGGGGCCGCGGGTCGACGAAACACCTCGGGGCGACGCGGGGGACGCGACGGGCAGAACGGGCAGAGCGCAGGGCGACGAGCGCGACGGGCGCAGGGTGCGACGGGACGAAGAAAAATGGCGCATTTCGCGCTTCAGTGGGCGGGCCCATGTTACTTAAAACCGAAATATAAAATAATGAACCCCGTCCCAACTTGAAATACGAAGCGAAACGCAAACGAGGCCGGGCTGTCAAAAACATTGTTTGTAACCTTTTGAGTGTGCAGATCGAACCCACATGATTGGCTCCCGCCAAAAACGGAAAAAAATTGCCTCTCACGCGAGGAGTCGCTCTCAACGTTTAGCAATCGCCATTGCACGACGGCTGCATGGCGATCGTTTTGATCGTTGGGCCCAACTTCAATTTCAAGTTGGGCCTGGGGTTCATTACTCCTTTCCATTGTCGAAGTCTCTTATCTTCCTTAGCCTAGAATAGCTCTAAACTAGCGATTTTGCCTAGGTAGGTACCGACTAATTCGGTTGCGTAATCTATGCTGGCCTAGTAACGAAGTGCGCTTTCGCCTCTCGCGCAATCGTTACGTTTCTGTTACTTCGGCCCCTCTCGCTCTCCGTTCTCGCGCTTGTTCTGAACCGCCCTCATGTCGCCCACCCCGTTTCTTCCCTCCCTTCCCGTCGCCTCCGCGCTCTCCCCTCCCATCGCGTCGCCCTCGTGCCTTCCTTCCCGCTCCCGCGCCTTCGTACTCGCCCGTCCCGTCCCTTCTCCGTCCCTTCGCATCAGCCACCTCGTCACCCTCCATTTCCTCCCGTCGCCATCCCGTTTCCCGTCGCCCTCCGTTCAGTTCGCCTTTGCGATCTGCTCTCCCATCCCATCGCCCCCGTTATCTCTCCGCGCTGCCCGTCGCGCTCGCTATCTCCCCCCTCTCCCTGTCGCCCTCGCTATCTCCCTCCAGTATCCGTCGCCCTCTCTGTCTCCCTCACGATCTCCCCTCTCCTCTCACGCCGTTCCTCTGACACTCCTATCGCCGCCATCGCTCTCCTCTCTACCCGCGCCTCTCATCCTTCCGTCGCCGTCGACCTCCCTCTCCCTTCCCGTCACCCTCTCTCTCGCATCCCCCTTCCCGTCGCCTTCTCTCTCGCAGCTCCCTTCCTGTCGCCCTCTCTCTCGCCGCTCCCTTCCTGTCGCCTTCTTTCTCGCTCCTCCCTTTCCCGTCACTCTCTCTCTCTCGCAGCTCCCTTCCCGTCGCCCTCTCTCTCGCAGCTCCCTTCCCGTCGCCCTCTCTCTCGCAGCTCCCTTCCCGTTACTCTCTCTCTCTCGCAGCTCCCTTCCCGTCACCCTCTCTCTGGCAGCTCCGTTCCTGTCGCCCTCTCTCTCGCCGCTCCGTTTCCCGTCGCCCTCTCTCTCGCATCTCCCTTCCCGTCGCCCTCTCTCTCGCAGCTCCCTTCCTGTCGCCTTCTCTCTCGCTCCTCCCTTCCCGTCACTCTCTCTCTCTCTCTCGCAGCTCCCTTCCCGTCGCCCTCTCTCTCGCAGCTCCCTTCCCGTCGCCCTCTCTCTCGCAGCTCCCTTCTCGTCGCCCTCTCTCTCGCTGCTCCCTTTCCGTTGCTCTCTCCTTCTCCCCTCCAGTCCCCCACCCACATTCACCTCCCGTCGCCCCCCTTGCCACTCCCTTCTCTTCACCTCCGCAGGACCAATCAACCCCCTTGCCTGATTTTGCCTATGTTTGCGCAGAATTTTGCCTGATTTTGCCTGTGTGTGCGCTGGATTTTGCATATGTGGATTCTGGCCTAGTGTTGATGACTCCTCCAGTGAATGCAGCATTGGTACCTTGCGCCAAATTCGCACCCACGATTGTGGATGAATGTCGCATCCAATCAGATTTGTAAACAAGTTCCAAATGTTCGCTGTTCACATCGACGCCCAACTGGGACGAAAAAAATACAAAACGCACAGCACTTCGACTTTTCTATCGTTCCAAACAAACTTGTGTTTTCAAGTGGACCCAACTAGAAGGGGGGGGTCACTATTTTAGTTGCTGGCTTTAAGAAAATGGTCCTTCGACCGACCGTTTTACTGCTCTGTACCATGTTAGAATAGTAGCTAAGAAGCTAGAGTTTAGGAAGAGAGAGGTGGCCAAAGGAGAGGGCTTGCACTATAGAATGCAATACAACTTATAGGAAACGAGGGAGGCGGTGAAGGGAGGTAGACCACCTAAGACAAGATAGGTGATACTACACTAACTAACTAAACATGCAATTATATAAGAATATTACATTCTGACATCACCCACGTTCTTCTTTTCAATTTCGAAGATTGAGTTTCCCACCCTCCCACCCATGTAGTAATTGTATCTGAGATTCTTGGTGTAATCGTAGTTATCATTGGACGAGATTGATGTACTCATACCCATATGAAATGAAGCACGATGCCTTCACAAGTTGAAGAAAGCAAGCTTTCACAATGTGTTTTACTTCACCTCTAACAGGTAATATTCATGGCAGGTTGAAATTGCGTATACACACTCAGGACAAGCTCACTATCACAGCAAAGCTTACAGAAAAACAACACATATAAACAGAAAGAAATTAGCAGGTTTTAAGAACAAAACAAGACAAAACAAATAAACGAATAGTTTTTGAAAGAGGTTGACACAAGGCACCGCATGCCACTTATGGCCTACTTTTGAAGTGACAGAGTAACTATGGCAGCAGGCAGAGCACCTTCCCGGCATAGATTGAAGATGTCGTGCACGTCCATCCGCCATTGTACTTGCTCAGGAGAGAGGATTGGCCCTTGAAATACTTCTGGATCACAGATGCACAAGTATCCCCTCTCACGACAGTGTACTTACCATAGAGGCAAGTTGTTGCACCCACCAACACAGAATTCACACAGACCTGAGAACACAGCGAACATTGGGTAGGCACAAAGGTGAACAACAATGCATCAGACTATGTCGAAACACTAGCAAATTGGAGTGCAACGAAAAAACTATCATGGCAACTTACGTCTTGCCCCACAAGCCGCTGTGACGTGTCTGAAGTGCAGATAAGCCCAGGGTTGTACTGGTACAGTTGCGCAGCGCTGATTGGAGGATAGGTATTTATCATGACGTCACTGCAGGTCTCCCCAGGGCTAACTGTGTAGTAGTTGGTGCAGCTCTGAACCTGCGGAGTGCCTGTTTGCACGCAGATCTGCTGGCCAGGTGTGAGAGCGTTGCACTCCAAGTCTGGGTTGGCAACATTGAGGTACGCCTGGGTCACACTGAAGAGGGTGGCAATAGATGCACAGGTGTCACCCTGCAATTGGGCAGGAGGGAAGAAATTGGATCAAGGAAGACAGGATGCTGGGACTCATGAACCATGAGGAATACCAGCTATTTTTATACAACAAACGGTGAAGAAGCAGAGGACAGCACACCATGGCTCAACACCCTGAACCAGGAAGGTGGGGTTCAAACCTACCTGAGCAATCGTGTAGGGAACAACACAGCCCAGTGTAGCAGCAGCACTGCCGGGATTGCGGATGACAATGCTTGTGCCAGCAGGGAAGGTACCAGCGCACTTGAGCTTCTGCACAATGTAAAATCAAGCAGAAAAAACAGCATAGAGTATATCAGTCGGAGGTAGTGGTGAGCAACGCAGGAGAAGCGAAAAAATCACGTGCGCATGCGCACGCACTCACGCACGCGCAAGCAATCACGCACGCATGCACGCACACACTCACTCACTCACGCGCACTCACTCACTCACTCACGCACGCACGCACACACGCACACACACACACACACACACACACACACACACACACACACACACACACACACACACACACACACACACACACACAATTCTAGCTGAGTGAAACAAACTGTGCTTACTGGGTTGAGGGCCACAAAATCCTTCTTGGAAAGCTGGTAGGTAGTGCGGACGAAGCCACAGGACATGGCAACAGGCAGCACGACCTTGGACACAAGAGAGCCCGGCACACAGGTGGGGGTGCCGTCGGTGAGAGATCCAGAGGTGTAACCCAAGGAGCAGAGGCAGGAGTAACCGCCTTTGCCGTCGTCAACGCATGTGCCGAAGCCACATGGGTTGACCACAAAGAATGTGCACACCTTAGCTGTTAACAGGGGAAACAAACATTGGAAACGGGAAACAGGGGAACAGAACAGGAAATGAGAACTCAGCTCGAAATAAATCCCATACGAACTCACAATGACCACGTCTGTGCCTGAGTAAAGACATCTCTGTTTGCTTACAATACAACAGCACAATCTCCAACAAAATATTCAGATAAGCAAACACACTGACCGAGGGCGCAAGTCTGCGTCTTGTCGAGGTTGGTGACGGCAATGAACCCAGCAGGGCACGTGCACTTGTTACGCTGGCTCTTGTTGGTCGGAGTGGAGGTGCAGGTGCCCCCACCGCATGGGTTGATGGGCTTGCACGGGTCAGGGGCTGCAGCAAGGATAGCACGTCAGGAAATTGGGGAAAGATGGGGCAGGGAGTCAGATTGCCAAGTCAGAACCTGTGTCGAGCAACTCAAACCAAAAGATGGATGCCCATTATTAAATATAAACGATGCAGGGGAGAAAGGGGGAAAGAAGACACAAGCACTGAGAGGGGGTTCAACGCACTTGAAATAACGGGGTAGAGGCCGGGCATCGTGTTCATCCCGCAGATCCCCGCACCGCCTGCAATCGCAATCCTCATGTAGCCGTTCTCGCCCCACGAGGGGCCCCATGAGTTGCGGATGATCCAGTACGGCACCGCATCCATCATGTTGAACCCCACGACCACCACCAGGTGGTCAACCACCCCCAAGCCGTAACAGTTAGGATCATTGTACACAAAGCCGCCAGTGTACCCCTTGAAAGAGTCCGAGACTGCATCAATGTAAACCACAACGGGTTGCCTTTGAACGGCGAGGGCGATCCCAAGCCATCCGGTCACACCGATGCTTTCGAACATGGAGATGGAGTAGGGGGCGGATGGCATCGTGGCAGGAACAGGGGACGCTCCAGCGGGCTTGTAGATGGCGAGCATGCGGGAGTGGTGGGCGGGGACAGTGTTGGCGGTGATGGTGGATGCATCTTCAGTGGAAAGGAGTCGGCGGACGCGGAAACGAGCAGAGACCTGCAGGCAGGCAGGGAACGTAATTGTGAGTGACCTCAAGGAGACATAACAGTAAGGGGGGAGAATTTACCTCAATGACGGAAACGTGTTAACGAGGGTGCGCTAAAGCACACACTTGAACAGAAAGCTGGACGTACTAGGGTGGGCGTATTCACCTGGTCATTCACCTTGCACGTGGCGGAGTTGAGAATGCCCGTGTAAGGATAGCTTTCAGCGGAAGGCAGTCCGCCACTGGCAGCGATGAAGTTGAACGCGTCGTCAGGCTTGCCTCCGTCACAGGTCCACGTGCCCTGGCAGTCAATCGCCTTCTGCTCAGATATGTTGGGCGGAGCTAGATTGTAGGCGATAGCGTAGGCTGCTTCTACAGCAGCCACTGGGGCGAAGATCCAACACGCGGCTGAAAAAGGGAAGGGGGAGCGACGGGTGTGGGCAAGGGGTCAAGAAATCAATGCTTGCACCAGATTTGTTTTTTACGTGAGAAAGACCGGTGGGGGAGGGGAATAGGCTAAAAAGCAGTAATGTCACTCTAGTAGGCCAGCGAGCTGCACCCTGACTTACAGCAAGCGCCTTGGTTCTTGGCTGCGAGAAGGGCAGACGGAATGCGGGATGTCCAGTCAACGGACGGCGGGATGGTCCATTGCGGGCTCGCCACGGTTCCCGAGAATCCAACGGTCATATGGCGGAAATACTGGTTGTAGAACGACCCACTGATATCCGCTGCGCCGTCCATTTTCGCACCGCGGTAGTCTCGCTTCCGCATGGTGTCTTCATCCGGTGGCGACGGGGGAGGGGTGACGGAGCTCTGGAAGGGCGAGCACGAAGGGTATGTAACAGTAACACCGCCCACGCGAACCGACAGAGTAACATTGTACATTCCGTCGTAACAGATGCAAGCGGGAGTGCGGGACGGCGTGGAGAGTGTACAGTAACCGAGGCCACCACAAGCACCCGCGGGAAGAGCGGCTCCGCAAAATGACACGCATTCAATCGCTCTGCGCTGCGCGCCAACGCTGCAACCAGTCCCAGCGCTAGCGCTTCCCCCACTGCTCCCCGCAAACTTCTTCGGATCTTTCTTGTTGCTCTTGCCCTTCCCATTACCGAAATGCTCCAAAACGTTCCAATTTCCGCCCAGAAAGCAATTTTCCCTCAAACCGCTGGTCTTCGACGCGCCGAACTGGGCGAGGTTTGCCTGCGCGAAACCGCCCTCAAGATTCGACGGGCAGAAATCCGCAGACTGCGCGGTGTAGCTAGTCGGCAGGTTGTTGAAATAATTTCCGCTCAAATCGTAGGTTGCTTGAGCGGTGTTTGCAAGCGAAGCAGAGGCGAAGGAGGAGAGAGGAGTTCCGCTGAACTGGTTGTTGCTGACGTCACTGTTAGAAGCACGACAAAAGTACGGAGAAGCAGGTTAGCCACCGGATCAGAAGCGACAGTGCGATACAAAAGAAAGGAAGTAAAAGATCCGAACGCAAAATAACAATTCAGGAAAGAACCGCGATGCACCGCGAAGCCCTCGTAGTGCCCCTAAGAGCCGTGAGGAACGGCTAAAACCAACAAGACTGAAGAACAAGACGTACAGAAAGACGAGGCCGGTAAAAGATCCGAGCGCGGCGGGGAGGCTGCCATAAAACTGATTGCGGCTGACGTCCCTGTCATGCAAAGATATTTCAGAATGTCAGATGGCAGGTGTAAAAAATAGCTCTTAAGTAGCAACTTCAGGTTAAAAAAATGAATTTCCAGGGTAACAGAATCACAAAAGTACTCAAGTGCAACATATTATTTTTAGCTTACAACAAGAAACCAGTACATAATTCCTTACAATGCGACGAGAGACTGCAGCCCGACGATACTCTCAAGAAAAAAACCGGAGAACTGGTTTTCCCCCACTAGCCTGAACAGAAATCATAATCGTCGAAGTTTTCACAGAAAAAAGAAAGAACAAAAAGAAAAAGAAAAAAACGAAACGGAACTTAGCAGGATGAAGATGCATCAGATGAGAGAAAAGAAGGAACGAAATCCGTTGATACAAGAAAAGCACCTGTATCAAATAACAAGATAACGTCTGAGAGAAATTAAAGCACGCCACAAGTGTATTACAGTGTCTGGAGTTGGGAAAGGCTGAGGAGAGAAGGAGGCAAGACTCCAGTGAAGCCATTGGAACCCAGTGCTCTGCATCGGACAAACATTCGACCGAAAACGCATAGCAAGCTTTGTCAGCATCAGAAGAAACGAGCAAACGAAAAAACATGAACCGTTGACTGAAAGAGGTCCTAAAAACACCATACGAAAGAACACCAACCCGAAGATACTCGGATCCTTAAAGGACGACGTACACAGTGGTGAGAGCAGTGAGCCCACTGAAGACGTTGGGAATGGATCCGGTCAAGCGGTTTGAGCTTACATCCCTGAACGACAAAAAATGGAAACGATGTTAACGAGGTTGGTCGAGTGAACAACGCAAAAGCTGGATGAGAGTTGACGACGCGGGTGCATCTAGCGGAATGCTTACAGTGTCCGCAGGTTGACCAGACTGGCTAAGCTGCTTGGAAGCCCACCAGATAATAGGTTTCCGCTAAGAGACCTGACAAGAGGAAAACAAAACACACAAAAAGGACGCTTAACCAAAGCCGACATCAGTTGCACACAGAACGGGTGCAGACCATGGGAGAGGCCGTCAGTCGCATGGGTGCGAGACGATGGAACAGCAGCGGGAAATGAAAGGTCAAGGCCAGGAACCTCAGCAGGAACAAGGCAAGATGAGGGGCTGCAGCAGGAATAAAGGGACGATGAGGGGACGGCCACGTAGACGAAAAGAAAGGTGGAAAATGAAGGAATCTGATGCTTACAGATTCGTCAGTGCGGTCAAGAATCCGATGTCAGCAGGGATATCGCCAACTATCAGAGTGTGGTCCAGGGACCTGCGCCACGTCAGCGGGTAGGAAAATATGGGAAACTGAGGAGCGGAACAGGGCAGACGCTTAGAAAACAGGAAAAACAATGCGGAACGGAACGTGGGACAAGAAAACGGAACCGAAAAGATCCCTTGCCCCTGGTTCCCCACCCCTCTCCCTCCACTTCCGCTTTCCTACCCTTTCCCCTTTCCCGCGCCTGCCCCCAGCTTCCCCTCACAGCCCACAAAAACATTCGCGGGGACTTTCTGCTCTCCCTTCGAATCGCGCATACAATTTCTGAAGAGCCGTCAGCTGAGTAACGGCGGCGGGAATTGAAGCTCCCCGGAGCTCAGTTCGTCCGGGAAACTCTCTGGAAGAAACAAGGAAACGGTCGCACAACAAGAGGCGTCACCGCACGCAGATGGGTGAGATGAAGCGGCACGGAGAAATACGATGTGTAACATACGGGTTAAAGAGTGGAGAAACTAGAAGGAGTTGTACAATGCAACGACACAACGTACATAGAAATGACCTCGCCAAGCGAGTTGCAAGTGAGGCCGAGCCATTGCGAACAGTCTGATGCAACGAACCACGTCTGGCTCAGCCGCAGGGCCGAACCCCACGCGTCCAGAATAGCTTGAAGAGCAGGTTCTGCAAGCAGACACGGCAATGCAACTCGGAGGAAACTTAGAAAGAGCGTATAGTTGAGCCATGAGATTCTAGACACTAACGATGGGATAAGCTGAAATGACCGGCGTCAACATGCTTACTTTGGGAGTCTGCGACCGCCTGTGCTTTGACGGGAGGCGAGAACACCACGAGGAAACTAAGCGCGAGAACCAAAGCTTTAACTATGTCGGGATGAAACGAATGTTTTCTCTGGAACAGCCTCATTGCGCTTCTATGAAGAATTCAATAAGCTGGTTGCTGGATCACTTCACCCGATTCCTGATAAAACCAAAGAGAGGGTAAGGTAGGTAGAAATGGCTCAGGAGCTACGAATAGACCGACAAGGCAACTCCACACAATGCGACGTCACACAGATCTGCTACAACTAATGCGGTATGTATGCGGACTCCGGACCGCTCAATGAGCGATGAAACTAAATGTGCGTCTGTCAGTCGGAACAATCAGACCTACACGAAACGGTGACTTACCAAGGATCGCTACTAGAAGTCACTCAACAGAAAGCTGACGTTCCGGAAACTAGGTTGACGTTTGGGAGACTAGGTTGACGTTTCGGAACTAAGTGCGGTGCCCTGATAAGGAGCCGTAAGTTCTAGACTAGGGTTTCTCAGCTATCAAAATCAACATTATGGTGGCACTGAAGCCAAGGGAGCCGGAGAAAGAGAGTAGGAGAAGAGGGGAAAACCGCGTTTGGTCATCCACTGTGTCTGGTGCCTCTGGCAGGGTGCAAGCTGCCTCATTATTCCTTGCCGTGGATGGGACACGCACGAGTCAGGGGCTCGAGTGGAGAGAGCAGCTGAGCTACACTGTTTCCGTGGACAGACGACATGGAGGCAGAAATGGGGGAGACGAAGGGCTCCCAGGACGAGATACATTTTGGTGTACAGTTCCATAATTTTTCCTTCACGGGAAGCCATGCTACTGAAATTCTGTGGCTGGGAGCAGACTACATGAACTGTAGCTGACACATTTCTTAATTATGGTGGGACGACCAACTCACGACAACGAACTATCACAATTAACTCTTCTCTGTAGTAGGCCTTCGCGAAAGGTGAAGCGTGGCAAACTACCACTTAGGGCAGGAAGCTCCAAAATAAAATCAGCGTCGTTTGCTCTGAGTGAAGGCGGTTGGTGCGCAGGACTTCGAATGGCAAGGGTTTGGTCACGACAACTCACGTCAGGTGTTTCAGGTTGTGGGAACATTGTGGGGGCCCGCTAGGGTTTGCTTCCCTCACTGCCTGCTTTGGGCTGGTCGCTTGCTCGTGCTGATAAGGACTGAATTTAGCAGCAGAAGGGTCGTTGGTTCTAGGCTGAACAAACGCGTTCTGGCCAATCAGGGTTCTCGAAACCAAGTCATGTCCATGACAAACCCACAGACTTGGCGTACAACAAGACATTCACCCCCACCACACCCAACCCAACTCACACAACGGAACATTACCCCAAAGAGCAAAACGAGCCTTCTTCACAAGGATACGGAGAGAGGGGCGAGTCACGAACGAGATGGGTAGACTAGAAAACGAAATGTCTTCTAGAACAACATGGCAAATGGGAGCGAGGGGCAACCAAAGGGGGCACGTGATGACAGAACCGACAAGGGGTGTGCAGCGTTGGCATGGTATGGTGGGCCTTCTTGTTGTGGTTTGTTCTTCGCATCCATCCACACCACACACTTCCATTTTTCCAAGGCCGATTCTGACACGGAAAATGCGCTGCCCAACAGAATCCAGACAGGATCCACGGAAGCGGGCAGTTGATGAATATTTTTTCGGTTGTGGCAATGCAGAATCCGTCAAGCCTGCCTTCTACACGAGGCGCAGGTTGGTGAGTTGGTCCATACGCCTACAATTGCCCGGTTTCATTATATGCAAACGTACAGAGGCTGAAGCTATGATACACCTTAAAAAGACCTCTACGATTACAAACACTAGCACAAGTACAGGTCTACTATTGAAGTCCACATGTTACAGCAGAGATAAGCTCCAACATAATGAAGCGGGCATAACCTTGTGTTCAAAATTCCAACGTTCTCGTCCTGATTGCTGCTTAATTTAATATTCGAATGCATGTGGAATATGGTACAAGTCAATGGTCGTGCACACAATCATCAAAACCCCATTAACGCTCAAACAGCAGCAGTGCCATTGGCCGAAAGGGGGCCAAGATAAACATGACAAACCTAGATTTATGCCAGACCGCTAAGCACACCCTCCCCCCCTCTCTTCATATGCATATCCAATCCAACACTTGCTGCAGCAACACAGGCACCCACATGTGCTCATCATCTCGTACCATCATCAGCTGCATCAGAGGACTTTTGAGTCGACTCAAACATCCTCCCATGTTCTGCGCCCTAAGCCCACCTCCCCCCCTTCTTTCTATGCATATCCAACACCTGCTCCAACGACACAGGTACCCACACATGCTTATCATCCTGCGCCATCAGCAGCTGCTTCGGAGAATCTATCACCAGGCTGATCGTGCCAAACAAAAACACTGGCATGCCCTCATGCGTGCGCCCGGGTTTCGGCAGGAATTTCACATCGTTCTGCAACGCAAATCGCTCCACAACCTCGCGTAGAGAAAGCTCTTTTTCATCCTCCTGTCGCACCACCCCCCTCATCCCTTCAGCCCCCCTCCCTCCTGTCACCTTAACACCAGATGTATGGACACCACCAGCCAATCCACCACCTCCACCTGCTGCAATACCAGCTCCCCCAGCAGCAGCACTGCCTGCACCAGTTGCACCTCCCCCTGCCCCAGTCCCATCTGCAAACGCCTGCTGCTCCGAAACTCTTAAGTAAGAGACGTTCTCCTTCACGCCGGGCTGCAGAACCGGCATCCCCTCTACAGCCTGATTCATCATATCTAGAGCAACGTTCAACTGCTGCCGAACCCTTTCCGAGCTTAAAAGCTCGGCGGGAAAAAGCGCCTTCCATCCCAGGTACCACCGGGTGACTTCATCGAAATTAGGGTTTGCGCACAGCCAATGGTAGAGCACCTGGTGCCACTGCGGGAAGAAGGCGGTGTCCAGCAAGGCGATGAGGTGGCGCGTGGGGACCACACCCGCCCACGACATGGCCCAATGAAACGGCTCCAGCTGCTGCTGCTGCGGATTCACTAAGAACTCAGTCTGCAGTAAGTGTATAAGCTTCGGGACAATGGATCGACTCACTAGAGTGTCCCAGCTTGCAGCGTCAAATACGGATTTCCATGGCGCGAGCATTGCAAGAGCGGACGAGTCCGATGGGTGCCATGCGGTTAGGGCAGACCCGAGCCTGAAGCGTATGGTTGGGTAGAGCGTCTCGAGCTGGGAGCCTAGGTACGGCAGCCACGGGTGCAGCCACTGGTGGACAGGTACGGTTTCCAGCCTCGGGTCCCAAGCCTCCACCGTGGCTGCCAGCTTCGGGAACACAAGGTGCGCAAGGATCGTTCTCAGGAGGACAGATGGCAGCACGGGAGCGCGCCACGTGTCGAGGAAGTTCAGGAGAGGCTCGGGCTCCCGAGGCTCCCAGAGATTGACCACTGCGGATCTGACAGCTGGCAGCACGAGATCTGCGACGAGGCGGGCGTATGGATCCATCTCAGCAGGCGCCCCTCCCACCCCTCCTGCGGCTGTTCCCGGATCTGCCACCGCATCAGCCAGTGCCACGTCAGCAAAAATCGCCCCACTCTCTTCGTCACTCTCACCTCCTCCTCCCCTCGCTCCTCCTCTTCCTCCTACGTCTCGTGCGAGGACAGAACGCCAGGAGGACAGCACAGCATGGCCGTGGGACGGGTGAGCAAGAGGGTTCCAGGTGCAGAAAAGCGGAGCAAGGCGAGGAAGCACAAACCCTAATGCCACCGCCGAGACATTATACATCTTGAACTCCTCAGGATGCTGCTCCCTCAGCCTCCGCAGCGCGGACAATGGCGTCGCGACAGATGCCGCAATCGCGTGCGAGTCCTGCGCGAGGGCTTCGGCCGACGCCATCGACGGCGGCGGCAGCAGCGGAGGGGCAGACGACAAAACATTTTCCAGCACGCCAACAATCCTTTGAAGGTCCACTAGCTGCTGCGCCTGCTGCTGCATGCGCTGCTGCGTGCGGTCGCGCTCCTGCTTGAGAGCGGTGAGCGAGTCTCGTTGGAACCTCAGGCGCTTGTCGATGGTTTGAATGTCTGCCTCTGCTAGATCCACCACCAGTCGCAGGTTGTGTTGGAGCTCGGGCATCGGCGTGTCGTCCTCTTGCAATTTTTGCTCCTCGTTAAGACGATCCATATTCGTCAACACACGCACCTGGGACAACAGGGAAACGGGGGAACAGGGGAACAGGGAAAGAGGGAAACGGGGGTTGAGTCCCATAGGGCGAGCTCCTGCTTGAGCGCGGTGAGCGAGTCTCGTTGGAAGCGCAGGCGCTTGTCGATGGTTTGAATGTCTGCTTCTGCCAGGTCCACCACCAGTCGCAGGTTGTGCTGCAGCTCGGGCATGGGCGTGTCGTCCTCCTGAAGCTTCTGCTCCTCGTTCAGACGGTCCATATTGGTCAACACACGGACCTGGGCAGGGAACAGAAAGAGTGAAGAGCATAACAGACACGAGGGTGAGGTTGTGCTGCAGGCTTCAGCTCGGGCATGCGCGTGTCATCCTCCTGAAGCTTCTGCTCCTCGTTCAACCGGTCCATGTTTGTCAACACGCGGACCTGGGCAGGGAAAGGGAGGCATGGCACGGAGAAAACACAGATCGGGTAGGGCAGGAAAGAGGGGACTGGGAGAGGGGTTTCCTCTGCTTGCTTCTGCCAGGTCCACCACGAGTCGCAGGTTGTGCTGCAGCTACGGCACCGGTGCGTCGTCCTCCTGCAATTTATGCTCCTCGTTAAGCCGGTCCAGATTCGTCATCACACGGACCTGCAGGGACGGAGAGTGAAGAGCACAGAATACAGGAGTGGGTGAGGTTGTGCTGCAGTTATGTTGGTGTGACTCTTGAGAATTCTCAAAAGTCACACCAACAAGAGTGGGTGAGGTTGTGCTGCAGTTCCGGCATCGACTTTTGAGGCGGCTCAAAAGTAGACCTACAGCGACGGAGAGTGAAGAGCACAGAATACAGGAGCGGGTGAGGTTGCGCTGCAGTTCCGGCATCGGCAACGTCGTCCTCATGCAGTTTCTGCTCCGCCCCGAGTCGCAGGTTGTGCTGTAGCTCGGGCATGGGCATGTCGTCCTCTTGTAGCTTCTGCTCCTCGTTAAGCCAAGCCAGTCGCAACAACTGCAACGCACCTGCGCTCCACGCGTGTTGAGGATCGTCTGGGTCACCTCCCTCCCCTCCACCTACTTCTCCCCGCATGATCATATTGTCTAGTCAACCGAAACAACCATATTGTCCAGTTGACTACAAAAAATCAATCGCAACAACCGACACGCACCTGTGCTCCGCGCATGTCCAGGATCGTCTGAGTCACCTCCCTCCCCTCCGCCTGCTTCTCTTCCAGTAGCTCCGCAGCAGTCTTATACTCCTTCCTCCTCCCAGCAAACTAGTGTTGAGACGTCTCAAAACTCACCTGGGCTCCGCGCATGTCGAGAATCGTCTGAGTCACCTCCCTCCCCTCCGCCTGCTTCTCTTCCAGTAGCTCCGCAGCAGTCTTATACTCCTTCCTCCTCCCAGCAAACTTCTTCTTCCATAGCTTCTCCCTCCCTTTTTTTTCCACTACCTCCACCGCCACTCCCCCCTCCCCTTCCTCTCCCAACACCTCCCCGTCTTTCCCGGACGGCGGGGGTGGTAACCCGACTTCTTTCTCCTTGAAGTCGTTAAAGCCCATCCCCATGTTCTTCGGGCGAAGCTTCGCTTCAATGGGTTTCGCTATACCCTGCTGGTTCTTCCCCAGCCCGCCTCCCTTGTACCCCATCTTCTCTAAAAGCTTCATCCCTATTCCTTTAGTGTGCTTCTCGAATGTTCCAACCCCGTGAGCAGCACCCTTCCCTCCTCCCGCTCCCCCACCACCAGAGCCGAACAAACCGCCGGCAACCCCTTTATTGGCCTTCTGCTGCGCGAAAAACGACGCCTCTTGCTTCTCCTGCTTCGCTCGCTCCCTCTCCATCTCCCTCCTCTGCTCCGCTCGCTCCCTTAGCCGCTGGCCGAAAGCAGTCTTGGCTAGATGATCCTCTTCCTCCTCCTCCTCCTCCCCTTGTGCCTCCCCCCTGGCTCCCAAACCTGGCCTTTCAGGTTCGGAACTCCCGGACGAAAATCCCAAGCCTGCTCCACCGAACCCGAGGCCCGCCCGACCCAATCCGCTCCGATCCTCATCCTCTGCAGGCTCCTGCGGCTTGCTTCCCAATCCGGGCCTTTCCTCTACAGCATCCCGATCCAGGTTCGGATTCACTGTACCTTTCGATACGAAATTAACGGGTTTCGTAAAATCGCCTTTTCCCATCAAATCGTCTTTTCCGCGACGTTTCTTCCTCCGTCTCTTACCCCCACCGCCGAATCCTTCGTCGTCGTCGTCATCCTCGTCATCAGATGCTTCGTTAAAGACACCGTAAAGGACGTCGTCGCGGTTCTGCTGACGACCCTGACGACGCGAGGAGGAGAAAAACTCTCCGTTAATGAACTGACCGTCGTCGAAATCTCCGTCCAGGCTGAACCGCATCCGCTGCTCTCCGTCAGCGTCAACGTCCATGATCGAAAGCTTTGGAACAAAAGCTCCTAAAGACCGCAATAGATACCCCTTTGATTCGATAAGCTCCAAACAGCTAAACAAATTCTATTTTAGGGCAAAGCAGCAACGGACTCTTGGCTACGTAGTGAATCTGCACATACGAAAAGCTGATCTCCTATGCCATGGCGGGTCACACAGACAAGATCTTGGAGGCGATGACGGGAAGCAGAGCACAAAACCTTCACTTGCTAGCGGTTCCGTAAGTATCTATACATTCTACGACGGCGAAATAATATTATACGACGGTTCAGTAAGGTTGACAGCAAGATTAAATACCTCAAATACACCCCAAGGTTTCTCGGGATGATCTCGATTCCATTCCATGTGCTTGTTGTCCTCGTTGCAGTGGTGTCAGCGCTTCTGAATACGGCAAAGCGTAGCATTGTAGTGGTGGAGAGAACATTACACGATGGTACAGTCCATTACATGGTGTTTGCAACTAGGCAACTATTTGTTGGAGTTTGAACTAGTGGGTACAACTTGAGTGAATGAATGGCCATACCGGTACCAGCTTGAACAAAGGAAATGCATGTTTGACGAGAAATGCAGATACAGCAAGAAATGTTAAAGCCCGAGTCTAGAATGGTAAGTGTTCAAGTTCAAGATTCTTGAAGTAAAAATCGCAAATAATCAGGTTACCCGGTTTGGGCCTTGCAGAGCCTCGCGACCCACAGAGTTTGTTTCCAACGGTGAGTTTCTGATTGGTTGAAACCAACCCTGGCAAAACGATCAGCACTTTCGCACAGAAACCAAACGAACGGGTCACTGTTCATACTTCCGGAAACTTGAAGCCAACTCTCACCATAATAGACTCGATACCTAGGAGGCTCCATAGCGTATACTATCGTAGTTCTATCCTAGCACACGCAATCCCGCCCGTCCATTCCGTAACTCTAGTCCTTCTCGTCCTTCCCGTTAGAAGCTTCACTCCCTTCCTCCGACATAGTAAGCCTAATCCGTCGCTCCCTCCCCTTCACGACCGCCTGCCTACTCGGAATAGGTTGTCTAGCCCCATCCTTAGATAAGATGTATCGGTCATTATCGTCCATCCCGTCTCACTCAATCTGATGGCCCGCATCATGCGATGAGCGCGAATATTTTCCGAGCACCATCGCCACCGTCACAAGCACCGTACACGTCACTAGAACCGCAAGCGCGACAACCATATCATATATAGTAAACGGACTCGACCCGGTACGTGACGGTCCATTCGCCGTGTCAGAATGTGATGTTTGTCTAGCCTGCAGTGGGGTACTCTATAGCGAGTACAGCCCGAATTAGGGTTTGCTATATGTACTCAACTGCCTGCTAGTGAAAACCCCTCTTTACTGACGGTCCATTCGCCGTGTCAGAATCTGACGCAGCCTCGTCGCGACGCCCTGGGGAGCCGCTCACGGCCCCCCGCTGCCCCGTCGTGGCGCCCTGGGGAGCCGCGCGCGGCCCCCGCTGCCTCGTCGCGACGCCCTGGGGAGCCGCGCGCGACCCCCCGCCCCGTCGCGGCGCCCTGGGGAGCCGCGCGCGGCCCCCGCTGCCCCGTCGCGGCGCCCTGTGGAGCCACGCGCGTCCCCCCGCTGCCCTGTCGCGGCGCCCTGGGAGCCGCGCGCCATCCCCCGAGCTGCTGCCCGCGCACCGCCCCCCGCTGCTGCCTGTGTTAGGGTTTGGGGGTGACGAGTGTGGGGGTGGCGAGTATGGGGGTGACGGGTGTGTGCGCCGTCCCCTGCTCCTCCTCCTCCTCCTCCGTCTCCCACTGCTGCAGCTGCCGCTGAGGGGGGTGGATGTGTTGGAGCCGTCGGCGTGGTACGAGAGGGGTGGCGTGTGAGCAGTGCTGGAGGTACAGCAGGGGGTGTGTGAAAGGGGTGTGGGACAGCTGGGGGAAGTTGAGTGGAGGCAGCCGTCTTGTCGTCCGCAGCGCCTGTAGTCCGGGGTCTAGCCTGGTAGCCCAGAGAGCCAGCTGCGCCTGTCGCCGTGTAGTCCGGGGCTCTGCGCCTGGTAGCCATAGTGTGGCCGTGTAGTCCGGGGCTCTGCGCCTGGTAGCCACAGTGCTGCGCGCTCCTGTTGCCCGTGTGTCTGCAGCTTCAGCCGTCGCCTCCCATCTTCTCGCCACAGTTTCTCCTCCTCCTCACTTGCCCTCTGTGACTGCCTCTAGTTTTGCTTGTACTTGTGAACTACTGTTCTGACTGCTTGCTGTACTGATTATACCCCACTTTGACTATGGGGGTGTGTCAGAATGTGATGTTTGTCTAGCCTGCAGTGGGGTACTCTATAGCGAGTACAGCCCGAATTAGGGTTTGCTATATGTACTCAACTGCCTGCTAGCGAAAACCCCTCTTTTCTGTTTCTCATTCCTGCCTAGCATTTTGACACGCCGCGGTAGCGATTACGCTTCCCCTCCCGTCGCCTTTTTGAAGGTGCTTCTTTCCCTCGCCCCTCACCCATGCTTTCTCTCAGTGTCGCCCACGCTTTTCCATCCCGTCTCTCTCGCTCCTCCCGTCGCTCCCGCTCGCACTCCTCCCACCGCTCGCGCACCTCCCGTCGCTCCCGCTCCTCCCTTCGCTACCGCTCCTACCGTCCCTCCCGTCCCTCTTCGCGTCCCTCCCGTCCCTCCCGTCCCACCTGTCCCTCCCGTCGCTTCCGTCCCTCCCGCCCCTCTTGTCCCTCCCGTCGCTTCCGCTCCTCCCGTCGCCCACGTCGCTCTCTTCCCTTCGGTCCGTCCCGTCCCTTTCCGCCTCTCGCCTTCCTGCCCTCTTTCCTCTCCCCCTTCCCTACGTGCAGCCACCCCGCCTCCCTACGCGCATTCCCCCCTTTTCCCTACGCGCATTTACCCCTTTCCCTACGCGCATTTCCCCCCTTTCCCTACGCGCATTTTCCCGCCTTCCATACGCGCATTCCCCCCCTTTCCCTACGCGAATCCCCCCCCTTTCCCTACTCGTATTTTCCCCCCTTCCATGCGCGCATTCCCCCCCTTTCCCTACGCGCAGTTTCCCCTCTGCTCCGCGCAATCCCCCCCGTTTCTTACGCGCACTTTCCCCCTTTCCTACGCGCAGTTTCCCCCTTTCCTACGCGCAGTTTCCCCCCTTCCCTACGCGCAGTTTTCCCCTTCCCTACTCGGGGCTTCTCCCTTCCCATCTCGCAGATCCAACCCTCCAATCCCTCAACTTACCCAGTCTCGCGTCCCTCTGTCCCCTCTCTTCCGTCCCGCCTTTCCTACTTCCATCCATCCCATTTCCGCCTCTCCACTCATTCTCTTGCCCTTTTTTCGTATCCTGCTTGCCCGTCCCTCCCTGCTGTCCCTTCCTCTCTCCCATCGCTCACTCACACTCATCGCTCACTCACACCCATTGCCCTCTAATTCCTTCACTCCCTTGTCCTGTACTCCCTTTCCACCTCTATCCGCCCCACTCTTCCCTTCCCTCTCTGCCCTTCCCATCCCTACCATATTTCCTCTCATAAATTTTCTCGTTGCCCATGTCCGCTCCCCCGTTTCCCAATGCAGGGTTTTCCCACATCGCACCCAACTCGTGCCCCCACAACGTGCATGTGCAGCACCACCACTCACCTTTCACTTCACGCTTGTGTTGTGCACCGAATGAGTGATGATTGGCAACCAGGTGCTTTAGACTAGCTTATGTCAAACTATATATGTTATGCTAGTTTATGTAGGCTGTAGTGGGGTAGCCAATGTAGGGTACAACCCCTTAGGGTTTTCCCTTGTACCAAACTCTCTCGATAGTTTCATCATTCCTAGCTACCTACTCTAACATGGTATTAAGAGCACTTAGGTTCTTAGGACCCAATTTTCAAGAGGGCCCACCGTTAAATCCCGTTTTTTAGCGCCTTACCCTGCCTGTCGAGCTGCCCCACCCGTCGCGCCGCCCTGCTAGCCGCGCGACGCGCGTTTTTTCCTCGTCGCGCCGCCCTAGGGCCCGGCCCCGCCCCTCGCGTCGCCTTAGGGCCTTCGCGCCGCCCTCGGGAGCCATTCGCGCTGCCCTGCTGGCAGCGCGCGACCCTGCCTGGCCCGTCGCGCACCTGTAGGGCCCGCGCGCCGCCCTTACCTGCCCGCCGCGCCGCCCTTTTTGGCAGCGCGCGGCTCGGCCCCGCCCTCGCGCACCCCTACGGCCCTCGCGCCGCCCTTGTCTGCCCGCCGCGCCGCCCTTCTGGCAGCGCGCGGTTCGGCCCTGCCTCGAGCGTAGCTCTAGCACCCGAGCGCCCTTCTCTCCTACTAGTGCTATTGCTGCTGCTACTGCTGCTGCTACTGCTGCCGCTACTGCTGCTTGCCTGAAATCGCTCTGCTCTGCTAGTCCCGCGCCAGCAGCTATGGCCACCCTCCGAGTTCTGTCGTTCGATGCCGAGGGCCGCCCGATTCAGTTCGAAACCTGGCTAGATGACCTGCAGCTGTTCCTAATGAGCGATTGCAAGGACAATGTCTCGCTCTATGACCACACGTCTGGTGCCTCAGTCGCTCCCGCTGCCACCGCTGAGCTTATTGCCCGTTCCGAGTGGCAGACCTGTGATGCTTTTGCGCGCCTAGCCGTTCGAAATCACCTTCCGTTAGCCGAGCTCACGCATTTTGGCGAGTACAAAACTGCTAAGACGCTGTACGACGCTGTAGTTGCTCGATACTCCTCCCCTGCCACAGCTCAGCTTAGCCGCCTCATGCTGCCCTACCTGTTTCCTGAGCTGTCAACCTTTGCCACAGTTGCCGATCTCATTACCCACCTTCGCACTAGCGACACCCGCCTTTGAGCCGCCCTCCCCAAAGAGTTATGCGCTAAGCACCCGCCTCCGATGTACTGGACCCTCAACTTCATAGTCACCTGTCTCTCTGACTCTCTTAGCTCGGTCAGGGACCACTTTCTCGCTCGTTATCCCACCGACCTCACTGTCGACCTCCTAGATGAGCACCTCCTTGCAGCAGAGAAGAGCATTGTCGCTGTAGCTGCTGCTCGTGGCGCTCCTCGCACCCCCATCTTTGAGGGGTGCTCTCCCTCTCCCCTTGCCCCCTCCCACGCTACTGCCGCTGCTGTTGACTACCTTGGTGCTGAGTCTGTTGGTGCTGCTTCTGCTCCTAGTGGGAGGCGCCGCAGCGGCAAGGGCAAGGGAGCCAAGAGTAGCGGAGGTGGCACCGGGGGGGGTGGTGGTGGAGGCGGTGGAGGAGGAGGAGGTGGCGGAGGGGGTGGCGGCGGGAGTGCTGGCGGGAGTGGTAGCGTCGGTAGCAGAGGTGGAGGCGGTGGTGGCGGGGGGGGTGGCAGCGGCGGTGGCGGCGGCGGTGGCAGCAGCGGTGGCGGCCGGGGCGGTAGTGGCGGTGGGGGTGGCGGTTGGGGTGGAGGCACGGGCGCTGGTCAGAGGCAGCAGCAGCAGAAGAGTCCCCAGACGACCCAGCAGCTTCGTGAGTGGCTTGCTCAGCGTGGGAGGTTTGGGGGTGGTGGTCGCTGCCCGTATGTCATTCGCACAGGTGACCGCAAGGGTCAGACATGCGGGAAGTTCCACACCCAGCACCGCTGCTTCTCCCGCCTTGACGACGCCTGGCGTGAGGAGATGGGCGAGGACTATGAGTGCCCTCGCTGGTATGAGCTGCTTAGGGCTGGTGTAGACATCTTTGCTCTTGACTATGATGCTATTATTACTGCCATGTATGCATTGGAGATTAGTGCTGATGGTGACTGTTACTTGTGTGTGCCGCCTGACCCCGGTATAGAGACTGGTACTCTGGGTGCTGCTGAGGTTGCTGCCTTAGGTGCGAGCGAGTCTGCTCTCTCAGGTACTGCGCCTGCTGAGGTCTTGCACACCTTCACGCTTGACTCAGGTGCTTCCCGCTGCAATTTTCGTGACAGTACTGCACTCACACCACTCCCTGCACCTGTTGCAGTCTCTCTGGCTGACCCCTCAGGGGGTCCAGTTCTTGCCCGGTCCACCACTGTGCTTCCGTGCCCGGCGGTTCCGTCTGGCTCACTGTCAGGTCTCCACCTCCCCTCGTTCTCGACGAACTTGGTGAGCAACGCCGTCATCCAGGATCAGCGTGTGGCGATCTGTACGTGCTCTAGGACTGGCCGTCACCTGGCCACGTTCACCTGTCGGCCAGGGTCGAGTCTTTACACACTGACGACTATGTCTCCTCAGGTAGCTGCTGTCGGCCAGGTGTCTGCGTCAGGTCTGGTAGCCTCCCCCTGTGAGTGTCGCTCCCTGTCGCACCAGACTCTTCTCTGGCACCATCGCCTGGGTCACCCCTCCTTGCCACGTCTCCGTGGCATGCACCGTCGCCTCCTTGTGTCTGGTCTTCCCGAGTCTCTCCCTCCCCTCCCTGCCTCGCCTGCGCCGCCCTGCCTTCCTTGCGTCGAGGGGCGGCAGCGCGCCGCTCCTCACTCCTCCTCGTTTCCCCCGACAGAGGCTCCTCTGCAGACCCTCCACCTGGACGTATGGGGCCCAGCCCGCGTTCGTGGACAGGGCGATGAGCGGTACTTTCTGCTGGTTGTCGACGACTACTCGCGTTACACCACGGTCTTCCCCTTGCGCACCAAGGGTGAGGTCCCTGTTGTCCTGATCCCTTGGATCCGAGCAGTTCGTCTCCAGCTCCGCCGCAGGTTCCGCCAGGACCTTCCTGTCCTGCGTCTGCACTCTGACAGAGGTGGTGAGTTCACCTCCGACCTCTTGCGGGCCTTCTGTCAGGGGGAGGGCATCGAGCAGTCCTTCACGCTTCAGGGCTCACCGCAACAAAATGGGGTTGCTGAGCGCCGCATTGGCTTAGTCATGGAGGTCGCTCGTACCTCCTTGATCCATGCGGCGGCTCCCCACTTTCTGTGGCCGTTTGCGGTCTGGTACGCCGCGCTGCAGCTCAACCTCTGGCCACGTGTCTCCTTGCCGGAGACCTCGCCCACACTGCGTTGGACGGGGGAGGTTGGCGATGCGTCGCGTTTCCGGGTCTGGGGTGCTCGTGCCCTTGTCTGCGATACGTCCGCGGACAAGCTCTCCTCCCGCACCATTCCCTGTGTCTTCCTTGGCTTTGTCCCTGACGCGCCTGGCTGGCAGTTTTACCACCCCACCTCGCGCCGTGTCTTCCCCTCTCAGGACGTCACCTTTGACGAGTCGGTTCCTTTTTATCGCCTCTTCCCCTACCGCACTGCCCCTCTCCCTCCCCCGCCGCTTTTCCTCGCTCCAGGTCCCCCTCCGGTAGACCCCCTCCCCCCTCAGGGTCCTGCTCCTTCAGGTGTGTCTCAGGTAGACCCGCCCCCCTTGGCTGAGCCTGTAGAGGTCACTAGCGACTCAGGTGCTGCTGCGGGAGGTGCTGCTGGGGGTGCTGCGTCTGGGGGTGCTGAGCCTGCGCGTGAGGTGCTGGGGAGTGCGGAGCCTGGGGGTGCTGAGCCTGCGGCTGCGGAGTCTGGGGGTGTTGAGCTCGTCCGTGAGGTGCTGGGGGGTGCGGAGCCTGGGGGTGCTGAGCCTACGAGTGCGGAGCCTAGGGGTGCTGAGCCGGAGGGTGCCGGGTCGGGGGGTGCTGAGTCTACTGGCGTTCCTCTGGGTCTCGTTTCCCGACGCGGGCCTGTCTCACCACAGCAGGCACGAGAGTGGCTTGCGTCGCGTACCCGCCTGAGGAGTCGTGCTGCTGGAGCTGCTTGTCGTGGAGGCGCTGGGAGTGCTGGTGTCTCTTTTCCTGGAGGTGCTCGTACTGGAGGTACTGGAGCTGCCGGGACTGGTACTGCTCTTGGAGCTGTAGGTGTCGGCTCTGGGGGTGCTGCTGCTGGAGATACTGGGGCTGGAGGCCCTGGAGATGGTGCTGTCGACCCTGGAGTTGGGGACCCTGGGGATGGAGGTGCCGGTTCTGGGGGTGCTGCTACAGGTGGCGCCGGAGCTGGAGGTGCTGCTGCTGGAGGCACTGGAGCTGGAGGTACTGCTGCTGGAGGCGCTGGAGCTGGAGGCGCTGCTGCTGGAGGCACTGGAGCTGGAGGTGCTGCTGCTGGAGGCGCTGGAGCTGGAAGTGCTGCTCCTGGAGGCACTGGAGCTAGAGGTGCTGCTGCTGGAGGTTCTCGAGCTGCTGGAGGTGCTGGAGCTGGAGGTTCTGGAGCTGCTGGAGGCGCTGGAGCTACTGGTACTGGTGGCACTGCACCGCCGCGACTGTTTTTCGCTCCGCCGTCACCGTCGTCGCTGCCACCGCCTGACTCAGTGCTTCGCCAGGTTCTTAGCCTCCCGTCTTCTACTGGCCTCCCGTTACAGCCAGGCTCTCCACTGCCTGCTCCTTCTCCTTACACTGAGCAGACAGACTCGCTTACAGAGCGTCGTGAGCCTGCGTCTCGTCCTGCCTCGCCTGTTCGCGCTGGTCGCACTGGTCGTCGTGTTCCTCGTGAGCGTCCTCCTCCTGTCCCCAGAACCCACACTATGGCACTTCGTCCTGTTAGAAACTAGAAGTGAACGAGAATGAATGAACTAGCAGAAAGTTGGGTACAAGTAGGAAACCCTAAGTTTGTTGTACCCCCTAAGGCTAAACCCACTATAGCCTACACAATGTAAACATATAATGTTTGACACACCCCCATAGGCTAAGTGGGAGACAACCAGATGGTCACAAGACCAGTCAAAGCAAGGCAAAGCAAAGCAAAGCTCA